ACTGTTCTGTTTCCATGGATCTAAGAAATACATACGTGATGTTAACTGAAGCTTTAAGAAAAGTGCTGATATTCTCATGTTTTTCAAAATCAACATACATAATAGTTAATTTTTTAACAAATTTTGATGTGTTGGTTTCATTTTCCAGCAGATTTTAGTTTTGACTTGTTGATTTTATTTCCCAGCAGTTTTTAGTTTTGATGTGTTCAGTTCATTTCAGAAACATTTTTTATTTTGAAGTTTTGATTGTCTGAAAGACTTTAGATTTTATTTGCCCAGTAGAAACATTGAACTCAGGTGTATCAAGACCACGCTCTTACAAGCTGAGCTAATTGGCCTACCTTACATAATGTTGAGTTTCCATGGATTTAAGAAATACATACTTGACCTTAACAATGAAAATTTGAGAAAAGTGATCATGTGTGAATATTTTTCAGTATCAATATCTATGCCATTTTATATTACAGCTGTGTTTTATATTATTAAGACTTTAGATCTGAATTGCCCAATATGGGAATTGAACCCATGACCTTGGTGATATTAGCACCTTGCTCTGACCAGCTGAGCTAACCGGCCATACACAATGTTCAGTTTCCATAGATTCAAGAAATACATACTTGATCTTAACTGAAAATTTAAGAAAAGTGCTGATATTCCCTTGTTTTTAAATATCAACATACATAATAGTTTATTTCCCAGCAGTGTTTAGTTTTGATGTGTTTAGTTCATTTCAGAAACATTTCTTATTTTGAAGTTTTGATTGTCTGAAAGACTTTAGACTTTATTTGCCCAGTAAGAACAATGAACCCCTGACCTTGGCGTTATTAGCACCACACTCTGACCAGCTGAGCTAACTGGCCATACACAATGTTCAGTTTCCATAGATTCAAGAAATATGTACTTGATCTTAACAAAAATTTGAGAAAACTAATCGTGTTCTACAAAATCAGTGTGTATAGTATTAAAATTTGAAGGGGTTTTTTTCTGTGTTAATTTTATAGATTTTAGTTTTGAATTGGCCAAAATGGGGATTGAACCCATGACCTTGGCGTTATTAGCACCACTCTCTGACCAACTGAGCTAACCAGCCACACACAATGTTCAGCTTCCATGGATCTAAGAAATAAATACTTGATCTTAACTGAATTTGAGAAGAGTGCTCATGTGCGAATATTTTTCAGTATCAATATATATACAATCTTATTTGCCAGCTTTGTTTTATGTTATTAAAACTTTAGTTGTGAATTGGCCAATATGGGGATTGAACCCATGACCTTGGCATTATTAGCACCAAGCTCTGACCAGCTTAGCTAACCGGCCATAAACACTGTTCTGTTTCCATGGATCTAAGAAATACATACGTGGTGTTAACTGAAGATTTAATTTATCACCTGAGTCATCACCCGGTTGACTGGAAACAATGCATCTCTTTTCACAGGCGATAATAACTAGCTGTGACGTCATCTCCTGGCGTTTATTTTTATTCTTTTTTAGCTGAATGAAACAAGTTCATAAAACATATCCAGTTACAGCCAAATCCTATCAAACACTCATTAAAAGTGATATTTTGTTGTATCTTTAAGAACTAAATATGCCATAAGTTTACACCGAATAAAACATTTTTTTTCTCTAAAATTAAATCAGACTGATTTTTTCTTATTTTAATTCAGTTAAATTTTTTAGTATATGCTAAAAAGCTTAGTGAGAACATTTGTTACAGATTTTTTTATCATCTTTCAGAAGTTTAAATGCATTTGGTAATATCAAGGATTATTGGCTTTGGGTAAACATTTTGGCTTTCCTTCCACAAACTTCTCACAATACGTTTCTGGAGTTCTGACCCATTCCAATTTATAATTATGCAATAAATAAATAAAATCAAAGGCTTTGTAAAATAGATAGTTATACTTTCACTCGTATTTTACTAGGCAAGTTTTGTCTGAAGATGCATCCAATTCATGAATATCAGCACAGATCAAGTTTCAGCCACAACTTTCACATCTAAAATAAGACTAAAAGTTGAACGTTTGTCTCCTTCACATGTTTAAATTCAAACATTATAAATGATGTGAAGCAGGGAGTCTGCTGCAGGACACTGATTCACATGTACAGGTGAGCTGGTCAGTGTGACAGCATCGCCATGGAGACAATGACAACGTAAATATTTAAACTGAGATCAAGGCCACAATGTCTCTGTGATACACATATCATTAATAAACCAAGTGGCATTTAACACAATATGTTCATAAACAAGAGCAATGCAATGACTTTACTCTGACAAACAGGCGGATATAAAACCGTGACGTCGGACTCATCTGGACCCGACAACTAAGGATATACAACTCAACTACACACTGGAGCACACAAAATAACACAGTTAAATACATAGAAACACACTGTAACACACACCAGTATACACACTGCAATGCAAAGAGAAATACATATTTTTTGTCTGTTTTTACTGCATGCAATAACACATCACTGCAAAACACTAATTCATGCAAAAACACACTGCAACACACTAACATACACAGTAACACACTGCAACATACACATCAAACAATCAAGTTTATTTGTGCAGCATATTTCTGGAACAATCGGTTCAAAGTGCTTTACATCGTAAAGATGTAAAAAAATAAAATAAACAAAGAAGTAAAAAGTAAAAAAACAAAAAAAATACAGTCGACAATTGAGAAACCAGTGATAAACATTACATTTTGATCATAATCAAAAATCAAATGTATTGGAAAATTTTCCTTTTATTATGGTTCAAAAGCAACTCTAAAGATGGGATTTAGCCTAGACTTAAAAGAAGTCAGTGTTTCTGCTGTTTTGCAGTTTTCTGTAAGTTTGTTCCAGAGTTGTGGTGCATAGAAGCTAAATGCTGCTTCTCCATGTTTGGTTCTGGTTTTGGGATACAGATCAGACCAGAACCAGAAACCAGAACAATGTAGTAACACACTAATGCATCTAGTGACACACCAGTACTCCCACTAACATCTGAATCAACCTGAATAAACCTGAAGACGATAATAAACCAGTTTTCAGTGTTTGGTAGCTGATAGAATAAGACCTAATGAGCATTTCAAGCCTAAACCTGTAGAATCAACTGCAAAATGAAATTGTGAATTTAGTCCCTGATGTGACACAACATCTCTGTGTTCCCACCAGGGCCTAAATGGGTAGTGTTTGGGTCGGCCCAGTAAGCCGGTTTCAGTGTGTGATTCTCTCCATTTCCTGTAGCGCTGAATAAATTCAGAACCATGTGTGATGCAAGTCTGATCAACTGAACATCTGTGAATAAATTCACACATCTGAGGACGAAAACATCAAACATCCCAGATTAACTCCGATCTCATGTTTTCCTGATTTCATTTCACAAGCCAGAGCAGGAGAGACATTTACTGTTTCCTGACTTTTACTTTGACAATATTTGGTTTTAATCAGAGGTGAGTAAAGTACCCAAAAATTGCACCCAAGTAAAAGTATCACTACTTCAACATGTTTTTACTCAAGTGAAAGCAGAAAGTATCCGTCCAAGAAATGACTCAAGAGTAAAAAAGTATTTGGTAAAAAGTCTCAAATACTGAACTGATCAAATTATCAATCATTTCATATGTAAAAATTACATCATCAGATGGACCAAAATATAAAGCTACGTAGAAATTTTGGTATTTTAAGGACCACAACAACAGTAATTCATAAGTAAAAACATAATATCAGGCAAAAGAAAATGTTTCCAAGAAGACACTGAAGAAGAAGAACGCCCTTCACAAAATGTGAACAAAAGTTTAACTTTTGTTTACATTTGGCCTCAGATTTTAGCGGTTGTAGGATTTCTCTTTTGTGTTTGGTAAAGACCACGAGTCATTTATTTATCTCGTTAGCGCTAGATTCCTACATTTATTCTGGCTCTGTTTACCCAGAATGCTCTGCTCTGTAGTTCGCTTCCTGCTTTTGGAGTGACCTCTGACCCAACCCAGCTTCTCCCCCAGACTTCACAACCTGTCACAATAGAATCAGAATCAGACTGAGGTATGACTCCTCACTCCAGAAACGTCACTTTGCAGTTCACTGGAAGTCACCATTTGACCTTAAAGTCTGAAATCTAAAGTTTGGAGGTATGAATCCACTTCTATGCTCCACAGATCTGGAACAAACTTCCAGAAAACTGTAAAGATGCTGGAACCCTGAGTTCTGGAACACTGATATAATATATTTGCTTGACAATTTTGATGGTGGCCTTTGCTAAAATGTAATGCTTATTGCTTGTTTCATAATTGATTACTGTATTGTTTTCATGGTGTAAAGCACTTTGAACTGCCTTGTTGCTGAAATGTGCTGTACTAATAAACATGACTGATTATTTGATTGATTTTTTTTTGTCATCTTTCAGGAAGCTAAAAGAGATAAAGTATATATATGCAATTTGGAAATGACATACCATTGAAACATGCTAATTGCTTCAATAATTAATTACTATGAAAACCTACGTAAAATCCGACTTCATTACTTAAATGGTTTGGATGTCAAAAATATTTGGAAATGTACAAGTAGAAATGTGGAAGTGTTTGTGAATATACTAGGAGATGTACTGTAAAAATAAGGAAAATTTCAGTTCACAATAACAAAAAAACTGTTGAATTACAGAAAAATTCTGATGGAAATTCTGTGAAAAAAACAGAAAATGTACTGGCAGAAAATTACAGGAACATTCTCTGTTTCTTTCTTTTTTTTTTTTTTTACTGTGTAGCTATAAATTTGGGATGCAAGTTGACACAGAAAGTTACAGGAGACAAACATTTCTATCCTAGAAATGTAGGAAAAATTCTAAATGCGTCCTAAAAATGTGTTACATTTTAACTTCACTGCATAAAAACAAGTTTGTAAGACTATAAAAGCCACTTCAACATCACCTGTTAGCATTTTAGTGTCTGGATCATTTCCACTGATGCAAACTCAACATCAAAACTTGTTCTGCCAAGTAAAGAGATTTCACATTTCTCTCTGTTCAGCGTTAAACTCAACGCGAAAGCAGGCACCTGAAACTCCACAACCCCGTTTCTACAGCACGGGTCGGTACAATACTTTATGGCCCGATGTGTTCAGGAGAGTATTTCCACTGCAGGTTGGACATGTGATATGGTCAAGAAATATAAATGAATACATGAAAAAGAACAAAATGTTTTTATTATTTCATCAGTGTGGTTTGTTCTTTAGTTTTATACAATGTAGCAGTCAAAATGTTGGAGGGTTTGGATGGAGCAGGAGCAGCTTGGAGAACATCGTGTCTGGAGCGGGGTTTCCAGCTCCGACCTGCCTTTAATGCTGCATGAGGATCACTGGAAGGTGTCCATGTTAATGAGACCAACACAGGCCTGTTTGCTCGTTTCATGTTTCTGCTCATGAATTTAAGCATCAAACTTTCAGCTATAAAACCTGAAAACTCTGAGCTGGAACGTCAGAACGCCCAGCAGCCCAACTGAGATCAGATCAAGCAGAACCACAACTGATCCCACATCAGCCATGGACCGAGGTAAGACCCGGACATTTTAAATGTGTCAGGTTGCTGTGAA